GATGCCTGCATTTGTAGTTGGTACAGCCAGATCTCAGTTTTAGGGCCTGTGTGGCAGATGACTGGGGAGAAGTGATCTTGGACATGGTGAAGGGCTCTGGTGTTCCGTAGTGCTAATGAAATGCCCTGTGAAGATGGAGGCACGAGGGAGATGAGAGTGGCTTCACATGAGTGCTCCCTTCTTTCCCCCGTGCTCCTTCTGAACAGGTAAAATAATTTGATTCTGCAGTGGGAGTCCTCCCTTACTCCTTCTGTCTGCCCTGAAACACATCTGTTTACTTGTTAGCATTGTGGACTCTTTCATGCATACAGAGTGTGAAGTCTAATGTGATGGATTCCTTCCTATGCACCTGCCCGATAGCTTTAATAATTTAAATTAGGAAATTCTGAGAGGAGGGAAAATTACCTGTCCCACCTATAATTTCTCTTGTTATTTTGGTGTGTTCTGTCTTATTCTTAAAAGAAAGTCAATGTTGTTATTATTTTGTTCACTTAAAACAGGGTCTCACTGTGTAGCACAGGCTGGCCTTAAATTTCAGTCCTCCTGGCTCAGCTTTCCTAGTGTTAGGATTATTGTCATGTGTCTCCAAGCCTAGCTTTGTAAGATTTTGATGCGGCCGTGTTTGTACATACCCCGTGACGTGCTGACCTTCCTCAGATTGAAGGTGTGTACCACCACCCTCCTGGCCCTCTACACCGTCTTTTCAATTGTTTTTGCCCCTCCTTTCCTGTTTCTTTATGTTTCTGGAGACAGGGTCTTGCTCTGTAGCCTAGGCTGGCCTGAAATTTGTGATCCTTGTGCCTCTGTCTCTCAAGGACTAGTGTGTCACCACTGTTCTAGGTTTTAGGTCCTTCCCTTTTACATGACTGCAGGTCTTCACAGGTAGATGTGGTGCCATTTCATTTGCTTTTTTTTTTTTAGCTATTAAAATGGTTAATGAAATTTTCTATAGTTCGTATTATTTCCTTTGACTAGTTCCTATAGAGAAGTGGGATTATTGGGTCAGAGAGCAGATCTGTAAGCCATTGTGGATGGATTGGAAACATTTCCCTGCAGGTGAACCACTGTACCTACTCTTAGCTGCAGGCTGGAGTGGCAGCTCGGATCTTTGCAGCATTTCCTCCAGCAGCTGATTTGGGTCCTGTGAGAACACAGGACCGATTGCTCCTGAGGTAGTCCAACTGACAACTGGTAGAGCCCTCCTAAGGCAGACAGTAATTTTTGCTGTATGCATTTCATTTTCAGGTGTTTTCTTGCCGACTAGGGAATGAGCAGGACACAGCACTTTCCATTGTGGACCCAGTTCAAATCCAGGTGGAGCTGGTGGGAAACTCTTCTTACCAGAATAGTTCCGGGCTGATGGATGCTTTCAACAGTGATGATTTCCCACCCATCCTAGAGGTAATGCTGAACAGTGTTGTCACAGCCTGTGTTTGTGCCTGAGATGGTGAGTGTGGATTAAGAAATGGCAGGTTGGAAAATTATAGATACTAAAGAAAAAACAGAGACACAAGATAGAATCAGGAGGGCACTGCAATGACTACTGGGGAAAAAAGCCCCAAGTTTATTACACATAGTCTTTATATACCCCAATCAAAAGTGGGGGAAGGCAAAGAGACTTCCTTGCCAAAATACAAAGAACAAGCAAACACAATTACCTTCTCAATACCCAAGACATCAAGTAACCACACCCTAAACCAAGTATCTGTCCTGTTGTCAAGGTGAGATAGACCTTAGCCACATCTTAGGCTGTTGTTAAAGTAAGACATCCATTAGTTACTTCTTAGGCCAACTATCCTGTTGTGTAACCTTGAACAAGCAGTAGTGGGTCTGAACTCTGACCTTACGTCAAGATGAAGGGGAGCCATCTGTAGGGCCTGACAGTACCTAACCTGTGGGTGCACCTGTGCTTCCCTGTGCAGACACTCTTGACCACTCTGAGTCTAGCACCAATTGTAGCTATCCCAGCAGACGTAATAAATATGATGGCACCTATGATCTCGCAGTATGGACAAGGATAAAAGACCCCTTATTAAGCTAGTGTCATTTTAAGTTCTGTAAAAGTTGACAGGAAGCAGATCTCAACACAGGTAGGAATAGTAGGTAGAGTGCTGCAGGGTGGAGACATCTGGGGGTGTGGTGGGCAGGTAGGATATGAGCCAGCAAGGGAAGGAGGACATTCCAGAGCAAGAGGCCGAGTTAGGGCAGAAGCAGAAGGCCTCACTGGGAATGAGAGGTGTTGAGGGGGTGAGGACTGAAACTGAAGCTAGGTAAGCTCTGGTGTTCTTGATCTTGCTTTCATTATTTCCGAGTGTGTGTGTGTGTGTGTGTGTGTGTGTGTGT